CCTATGGCTTCTTGTAGCATACCAGCAAGAAGATATGAGGATTTTTTAGTAATGTTTTTTGCTACTGATGAGATCAACAAGAATCCTTATCTGTTACCCAACATATCTTTGATATTCTCCCGAATTGTTGGCGTCTGTGAAGACACTTTTGGACATCTGGATAAACTATATGAAACACAACACAATAATTTTGATTTTATTAATTATCACTGTGGTATTCAGGCAATTTGTGATATACAACTTACTGGACCATCATGGATAACATCCTTAAAATTGGCAATTTATTTTAGGACACTGAAGGTGAGAATGTGTGACACTGGATGAGTTAACAAAGTACATTCCATTCATAGATGCTAAGGGAGAAACCTTTGTCAGCATGTGTCTGTCTGTGTACTGGTTTACACATATTATAAAGGATATAAAATGAGATCATAGACACACTGTAGGAAATAGGCAAAACACTTTACATGCTATTTATAGAATAATTTTACTATCCTTAATGGGAGTTCTGAAAGGTGAGCAATGTTATTTGTATACAAGTCCAAACCTCCTTAAAATCATATTCCTTATGTGGATGTTTCATCCTTTCTTCTACATCTTTTAGATTTTCTTTGGACCATTTAATCCTAACCTGAGTGACCATGACCAGTTTCCCTATCTCTATCAGATAGCAACCAAGGACACACGTTTGTCCCATGGCATGGTCTCCTTGATGCTTCATTTTAGATGGACTTGGATTGGACTGGTCATCTCAAATGATGACCAGGGTATTCAGTTTCTCTCAAACTTGAGAGATGAAACGCAAAGGCATGGGATCTGTTTAGCTTTTGTGAATATGATCCCAGAAGATATGCAGATATACATGACAAGGGCTAAGATATATGATAAACAAATTATGGCATCAACTGCAAGGGTTGTTATTATTTATGGTGAAATGAACTCTACCCTAGAAGTCAGCTTTAGAAGATGGGAATATTTAGGTGCACAGAGAATCTGGATCACAACCTCACAATGGGATGTCATCATAAATAAAAGAGATTTCAGCCTTGATTTCTTCCATGGGACTGTCACCTTTGAACACCACCACAGTGAGATTGCTAAATTAAGGAATTTTATGCAAACAATGAACACTTCCAAGTACCCAGTAGACATTTCTAAGTGTATGCTATGGTGGAATTATTTTAATTGTTCAGTATCTAAGAACAGCAATAGCAAAATGGATCATTTTTCATTCAACAATCCAGTGGAATGGTTGGCACAGCACAAATTTGATATGGCCCTGAGTGAAGAAGGTTACAATTTGTATAATGCTGTGTATGCTGTGGCCCACACATACCATGAACTCATTCTTCAAATAGTAGAATCTCAGCAAATGGCAGAACCCAAAGGAGTGTTCACTAACTGTCAGCAGGTAGAGTTTCTTACATACCATTATGCTTATAAATATCAATGTGATCTTTTAAATGGCCCCTGAGAAACTCACATAAATTTGCTAGAGATATTCTTGCAATAAAAAGATTTTTGTAAAGGCTGGAGAGATGGCTCAGGTGTTAAGAGCACTGACTGCTCTTCAGAGGTCCTGAGTTCAATTCCCAGCAACCACATGGTGGCTCACAATCATCTGTAATGGGATCCGATGCCCTTTTCTGGTGTGTCTGAAAATATTGACAGTTTACTCATATATATGCCAGGCGGGGGTGACACACGCCTTTAATGCCAGCACTTGGGAGGCAGAGGCAGGCGGATTGCTGTGTTCAAGGCTAGCCTGGTCTACAGAATGAGATCCAAGGCAGCCAAGGCTACACAGAGAAACCCTGTCTCCAAAAAAACCAAAAAAAAAAAAAGGATTTCTATACTATAAAACTACCTACTGAGTATTTTACATGGATGTGTAACATGTACAAGGATGACATATAATTGCAGACAATATTTTTATATGAATGTCAGTGAGTTTGTGAAAATGTGTCTCAATATTCTATAAAATGAGTTCAATATTTAAAATAAGAGTCAAAAGTTTTATCATAAAAGCATTAAGTGATAACTAGTCCAGAATAATTTTCTCAAGAATATTTTTCTCAATAATTTGTACATTTGCTGTGATTAATAGTTATTCATTTAAAGTAACAATTGTTTATTTAAACGTAAGTGATGATGACTGCATATTTAATAAGTTTATGTTTATTTCATATATGAAAACTGTATATACATGAATGACACACTACCATCCTTTGTTTCGACAAATTTCCAGATATTCAGACTTCCCACTCATTCTCACACACATGGCTTCAATTTTAAAAATTATTTTTGAAAAACATGTGAACACACACACACATATTCAAGATCACACATGCTCATACATATACACACACTCACATCATGTTACTTGTTATTTGGATAGCAATTATTTTAGCTTTATATATGTCTCAAAACATTAAAATGAAGTATATGAATTTTTAGTTACCCATGAGTTATATTATATATAAGTACATAGGATTTTTTAATATAGATGTCTTTTCTAAAAAAAAATATTAAAAATTAAGGAACATTGTCAATTTTGCTTATCCTTAGTCAATATGTACTCATGTAATCATCTGATGATCCATCTCATTTAGGTGGCTTCCATGTTGAAAACTAGAGTATTTACTAACCCTGTTGGTGAACTTGTGAACATGAATCATAGGGAAAACGAGTGTGCAGAGTATGGCATTTTCAACATTTGGAATTTTCCACAAGGTCTTGGATTAAAAGTCA